TAAAGACAATGTCTTTAGAATTAAAAAACGCTGGGAGCAGGAAAGAAGTGTTAAAAAAAAGCAGGATCTGCCCACACCAGGGTTTCTGGCAATGATGAAAACGCAGCTCTTCTGTATTTCAGAACGATTTTATAGTGTTTTATTATTTATTGAAACTGTTGCTAATCAATTAAAATAGATCCAAATTCTGCAACTAAAATTTGTGTTTTAATTTTATTGTGTACAATTTGTAGTGTACAAGGTAAGGTGCAAAAATAAATATTTCTAATTGATTAAAAAAAAATTTTGCTAGTGCGGACGACTTTAGTTTGATGCTTTAATATCGTTCAAAATTTTTAGCGTAGTTATATCAGTGAGACCCTAAAAAATAAATTTGGAAAAAAATTTAATTGGAATCTTTTCTACATTGAACAAAAACACGATTAAACCCGTCACACCAAACTTTTATTTAAAACACTTTCTACAAGATAAAATTTTTTAATTTTTTCTACTGGTATCTGTGATAATTGAATAATGTAAAAGTTGATAGATTTTGAGTAATTAGCGTTTGAATATCAAAAATAGGAAATTCTGGTAATTTATGGCCAAGTTTGGAATGATGTGCTGCTAATGCATTGACAATAGAGCCGGGATATGTCATAAATGTCATTGCGGACTTTTTTCTTTGTCAAGAATTTCTGACCTGATCACCAATTAGCGCAAACCCTCCCATAAATTATTCCAAGTTTCAGATTTTCAATATTAAAATGTTAATTATTCAAAACCTAACAACTTTATCATTACTCTATTTTCACAAATACCACAGAATTTTAGTTAGGTAATGGAAACTTTTTTTTCTCCTTTAATTTTCAAGGTCTTACTGCCATACGCTAAAAATTTTGTACAATATCAAATTAAAGTGTATTTAATCCTTTATCGTTTTCACTATCAAAATTCTTTTTTAATCAATTAGAAATATTTATTTTTGCGCCGGCTTTAAAACTTAGGACACCCAGTACGTTCCATCATATTCATGATGCGCTCTCAAAACAAAATAAATTCTCTAAAATGTCGTCGTGGCAACTTTAGTCTAAAGATCCATTTATTTTTGGTGTTGTCTTAACAACCATCTCAAAACTGATTGATGTTCACAAATGTTTTGTACGGTTTTTAAATCAATTTACTGGTTTAGAGAAAATTTTTGTATGTAACTTGTTCGGAAACAGTTGTGTGGTGACTCCTTTCATTAAAGACTTGGCTCCCTCATCGCCTTGTCCTTCCCCGAAACTTTATTTTGCATAAATAGAATTTTTTTACAATTTGTTTAGACTTTAGAATCGTATTTTGAGTCGTTACGCCTAGGCTTTCAGAGGAAAGTGTTTATTCCTAAGACTTGGTTAAATAAATATGTTAACTTTGAAAAGCTTTTCAATTTTCCGTAGATTTTGTCAATTTGACAAAGTTTCATCGTAAACACGAAGTATTGCGTTGAGTATTTTAGAAGTAAATGTGAATTTTCATAAGAATTAGAGAAATGGAGCTTAAAGCTTTATATTAATTACCTAGAATTTAGCCACGTGACAAAACATTTCAGACACAAAAGGTTTGTGAACGGTTTATTATGGTGAATTGTGTATTGACATTTCAATCAATAAATGTAGATTTATTTTAGTATTCAAATGAGAACACATTTTGAACGGTCTAAATACGGTGGGTAAATATAATTGGGAAAACAATTTAAAATTACTCAAGAAATTTAAAATGTGCAGGAGATTATTTTTAATAAAAGCATTATTTGAAAGAAACAATAAACTTATGGTGGCTCTTTAATAAGTTGACACACTTCGTCCAAGTCAATCGAAGATGAGAACTCTTGAAATGTGCAAGATTGTAGGGCTCGAGTGCTTGCATTCAACTTGAAGAGTTTTTGAGTATTTGTTCTTAGCCTTTCGCATGAGACTCAGCGAAAAAAACTCCCGAATAATTTATTTTATTGCTTCTCGACGGTATATAAAATTTACGGTTCCGATGCTATTTATGTAAATGTACGTTTATCGCTCAAGATTAGTCCCGGTTTGTAAGTCATAACCTCTTTATTCTTTTAAGCGCAGTTCTTAAAGGTTATGACATGCAAAATAACAATTCGTTTGCTCAGCGTAAACGTTAAATTTAGAACAATTTGCATGATATCGTTAAATTATGATAATTTTTAACTTTTCAGTTAGGGCCACCTGATGCCTGTTGTATTCTAATATGGTTACTAGCATGTAATAAATTGCTCGCGGCATAAATTATGCCTTCAAGTGTCCGAATTTCGCTGCCACTTTTAATTAATGTTACGCTCGAATTGCACAAAAAGCAATTATAGTAATGGTGTTTGGCAGTCGTACGTGTGCCCTCACGATACCCTCAAACAAAATTGTGAAAAGTTTTTCAGGATACTTTTACTTTTTGTGCTTTCAGTTACTTAATACTCGACTCGATTTAATCACTCTTGACACAAACCTATCATTAGAATTATGATTTGTGCTTGTAAATTATAAGATTGAAAATGTAGAGAAAGTTTTGGATTGGGATATCAACACTGTTTTAAATTAAGTTATTATTATAAAGCAATTACAATATTATTTATGGCGTCATCTTGTGTATTGATTTTTAAAGTTTAAGCCGTTCCAAATTTAAATACAAATTATTTATTTTGAAACTTCATGATTGCTTGATTTCCATTCGGTGATAAAACTCTTAGAATTTATTCATTCCATGGCTCATTTTACTGATTGCAAGTTTAATGCCACAATCAATAATCTGTAAACGGTGACAACCAAGAAATTTATCTATTCAAGCATGCATTAATAGAATCATTTTGATATTACTAAAACTGAACTGGTTAGATGTAGGTACATTTTATTTTGTTTTTTTACATTTTTTATCAGTTATTTTGAGGATTGTAACATTTAATAATAACTTTAATTGATTTTCTCGTCACAGTATTGTTGTTAATTAGTTTTGGAGAAAACAAAAACACTGGAGAGGTTAAAAATATTTTATAACAAAACCAGTCACCGTGAAAAAAGTTTTAGATACAAGGTTATAGATAGAAACAACAGTTCCGTGTGAAAAGTAAAATGTGATAGATTTAAACAATATCATTGACTTTTAAATTGTACAGTTTAAAGTTATATTTAGTAGAAATTATTATACGAATACTTTAGAATAATGCGAAAATTTGTGGTGTATATTTAAAATACTTAGGTACAGATTTGTCAACAAGAAATTACCACCTAGGATTTAAACTTTTATGAAATTTACGTTTTTTATGTTGTGTGTAATTAGAATTTTCAGAAGTAATTTTGAATGCCTAGGTTTGGTTACCCCTTGTTGTTGACGGTTGACATTTTCTGTCAACCTGCTGTCAACTATCAATTGAGTTATCTATACAAGCTGACAGGTGACTTAACCTAAATTTTTGACACTAGTTACGATATCTTTTATTTGTCACCACAAACCAACCTAACCTAACTTATGGCAATCTATTCACGAATATCCTTAAATCCTAGGTAGTAATTTCTTGTTGATGCGATAATATTGTACTCGGTATTGTATACAAGGTGCCCCAGGAAGTTGGTAAAGTTCATTATTTACCTTTAAATATATTAAAATTAAAAAAATATATACAGGCTGTGTCAGAACTCGTACCCCAGAGAAAAATTTCAAGTAAGATAATATACCACGAACATGGAAAAAATTGACATTTGACATTTTTTATGTTTATTTAATGATACTAATGATCTTGTATATGTTTTTTATAACACTTGGCGACAATTTTTTTTTTCTAACAGATAGTACCTAATACCTGTATCCTAAGTAATTTTGTTCAGAAAGTCTAAAAATGATCACCAAAATTCTTCATCACTAAAGTTTTTTTTGTTATTTTTGTTTTCATATTTAAACAGTGGTCGAAGTACTCAGATGTATTCACGATATAGATTGAACTAAAAAATGTATTAAACCATTTGTAATTTTACATTACACAAAATGAATCACTAGATAATAAATTGACAACAAATTTAATAAAGAAATATTTTCAAGAATTTCGTTTTTGTCTTTTACGAGGAGTAGTCTTTCTTTTGCAGAAACCTGCAAAAGTCTCTATCATTGTCGAATCCCATACATACCTTGATACCTTTTTTTCATGGCACTGATATCTTGATGAAAACGCTCTTTCTTATCACTTATAGTCTTTAAAGTTATATTGAATGAAATCGAATTGGAAAATGCACTTATAAAATGCACTTCGGCAGCCAAGTGTTTTACAAATTTCCAATAGTTTTGAGATAAATATAGAATAATTTTTATTTTTATTATTGCCAAGAAATCTGTGGACTACACTCTTAAAAGAATTTCAAGCAATTACATGATTATTTAATTTTTGCACAAAAACTTCATTATGGATCACTTTCAGATTTTCCTATCACTTAGTTTAGGGCAGTTTTGTCTTAGATACATAAAGAATTTATTTTCTTACTTGCTTAAACAGAAAATAAATTGATTCGCGATTACAAAACAGTGGTGAGGATGAAATTTTAAATTTATTTCTCATAATAATGCCATAGGTTAACGTTAACTGTATAAATATTGATCATTTGTAACATTGTGTTCATTTATTGACTGAGGATTTGGAATTGAAAAAGGGTATAAAGGATATGCTGGTACAAAAAAAGAACAAACCGTAAATTATTCTTTTCGCTCTTTTATATACCTGCAGGATAATTTCGACTGAAAAACTTAAGTGACGTTAGAATTGTATAACGAACGTAAATCCGGGTCACCAATAATTGAAAAACAACAAAAAACAACTTTATCAAATCTTAAAGCCGCCACCTTTGACATCGCTCTATCAAACATTTGTGAAACAAAAAATTCTACGTGAACTAAAATTGGTACAGGATGTTTATTATTTTGTTATCACAAATGCGGTAAAGTTTTAACTTCCTGAAACTCATCTAAAAATTTTGTTGCAGCAAAATTATGGCAAGATGGAGGCTGCGCTTGTCGAAAAACGAGACCTCCGAAAATCGGCGATATTCCAAGGTGAGTAATAACTAATAATGACACATAATGGAACGTTTCCATAGTCATTTGTTATTTTTGCATTAAAATTTCCATTTCCATTTTTAGTAGAATCTTTTTCTATATGAGCAGCGAACTCTGTGACTGAATAATGTAGGAATTCCCAGGTGTGGGGACATTGATTCAAATATCTCTCCAAGCACTTTTCACACGAAAAGTGTTCGACCAATAAAGAATTTTTCATTTTTGCATTTCTTTCGGTTTGAACATAATATTTTGTTGAATATGACAGGCAAAGTGGAGCTAGGCAAAAATGTGCAGTGTAACAAATTAATCATGAAAACGAATGAAACGTTTTGTTGTGATGGACATTGTTCGAAACAATGTATCTTTATTTAAGAGTAAAATGTAATTATAAAGTTGCGGAAAATTATTAGCACAACCATTTGTCTGGCTCGAGCAGCTTTAATAATAGCAAACTCTGTTTCAGCAAGACCACGGCTGTCAATAAGAGTTGTCTGTTGAACCTAATTTACTGTATTCAAATAAACCATCAGTAACTTATAATTCTTTTTGCTGGCTAAATTCAGCTTATAGGTGTATTTTAGTAACCTACTGGGCTATTTTTTGTAAATTTTATTTGTTGGTGAAAATATTCACAAAACTACTTGACAGGACTAGTCTACTTAGACGCAATATCATCAATAAAAGGACTGAGACAATCTCAAGTTTCAGATTAACAGGAATTAAACGGATAAGCGGCAGTATTCTGTGATAATGGAATAAAGAAAACAATATCGCTGTGATCACTGTGTAGAAAAGTAGTCAAACAACAACAATATTTTTTTGACAAAAACAGTTTTTTATTAATAAAATTGATTGTTACCAATAATGCTTGCTTCTTCTGAATCTAAAGTCACTAGATGTACATGACTTTAGCTTAATCGAATTACTCCTAAAAGCGATTTTTTTTTTTCGGAATTTTTTACATCCAAATTGGAAAAATGGCGTTTTATAAACCATATTTTATATACAGGTGCGCTAGAGAAAAATGCCATCCATGTAAGGTAAGATACCAGAAACATGGAAAAAAATCTATCTATAAAAATTTCGAAGTTATGAGAGTTTAAATTTTGCACTTTGACTATTTATTTCTGTTGGAAATAGTTATTTATTCGACGAGTTTGAGTGTAAATCGGACTCTTTATTTGACCGAGTGAATTTTTAAACCACGAGTGTAACGAGTGGTTTACCATCCACGAGGTGGAATAAAGCGTCCGATTTACACTCAAACGAGTGGAATACAACATTTTATTCTTCGAATTAGAGTCAACAAGGCTTAAACTTGCTTTAAATCGTTAAAAATAATTTGACGTTTTGTTTTGAGAAATGCCTAACAGTTGTCAAAACTTCCTTACACGGGAGAAAAACCGTAAATTTTGACAGTGTCGAAGAATAAAATACTTTTCCAAGTTTTTTTGCTACATGTTATTAGAAGAGGAAACAAGGAAGCTCTAGCCTAAATTGTCTCTCTGTTTAAGGTTTTTTGTGGCTTTAATTGGCAAAATTTTTGTACCTATATTAAATAATTGTAAAAAAACATATACAAAAAAATCATAAATAGACATAATAAAAAAAGTCAAATGTCAACAAATAAATGTCAATTTTTTTTGACAGTTAGAATTTTTTAAACATTTTTTTATGTTCCTGATATCTTATCTAACTTGAAATTTTTCTCTGGGTCGCGAGTTCTGGCGCATCAAGTCAAATTGTTACAAAGACCAGTGCTTTTTGGATGATTATGAGTATGCTCTAAACGAGTGATTTATACTATTTTTTCTATTTTTCGTTTTTATGTCGTTTTTAGTTAAATATAATGAATGTTTATTGGTTGGTGACATATATGTACCAGTGTTATTCATGAAAGCGTTGGGAAATTCAATTTGAACTGACATTTGTCATTATGCGTAACCTGGAAATAAGTTCTTAAGATTTTCTCATGTTTGCCACCGAAATATCAGAAAATTGATAAGTATATTGGGAACAACTGACTTCCAACGGCATTGTCACCAACATTAAAAACATAAAATACACTAGGCTATTAACACACTCTAGAAAGCACTTAAACAAGTTTGTTAATAGCTTTGTTAAAGAAGTAAAATAGAAAATTGTATATAAGTTTTATAAGACCAGTCTTGAAGCACGAATTTAAGTTTAAAAAACGAGTGGCGTAGCTGCGAATTATTTTAAAGAATGAGTGCTTCAAGGTTTTATGGAACGAGTTTTTTTTTTACTATTTCTTATAGTTTTTCCTCTATGCCGTTTTTAAAGAATTTTTTTTTACTTTAATCGATTTAAAGATTGTTGTGACGTTTGGTAGTTTTAATTTTAAAAGTCAAAATTAGATCTAGTTGCCTTTTGACTAAGACATCGTACATGATGACGTCGCGTTCTTAGTATGTTTTTCTATTCCGACATCTAAAACACGGATTATCGTATATGTTTCTATGATGCTAAGTGACCTTTTATATACATCTTGACCAGCCGTGACTAATAAGCGTATTAGTTACGTTGCTAATACAACTGTCGTATTAGTCCCGAGCTGAAGTTAGTATTCTGTCATTTAATTTAATTTTTAATGTAAGTAATTTTTTTTGGTTCTTGTGCGCTTTTTTCCGTGTGCGCTTTTGTCCTTGTGCGCTTTTTTTCTTGTGCGTCTTTTTCTTGTGCGCTTTTTTCTGTACGCTTATTCCGCTTATTCGGAAACTGATTTTACTTTTTATTTTAAATTTAAAAGTAATTGCGGTTTCAGTAGCGCAAGCGCCTTCATATCAAAACGGCTGACATCTTACGTTCCCAACCTAATAACATCAAATAACTATTGTCGTATCAACAAGAAGTTACTCCCTAGGATTTAGGGATATTCGTAAATAGGTTGCCATAAATTTGGTTTGGTTGGTTTCTGGTGACAAACAAAAGATATCGTAACTAGTGTGAAAATTTAGGTCAAGTCACCTGTCAAGTTATATGGATAATTTTATAGATAGTTGACATCAGAGGTTGACAGAAAACGTCAACCGTCAACAACCCTAGGCATTCAAAATTACTTCTGAAAATTGTAGTTACAAACAACATGAGAAACGTAATTTCCCTAAAAGTTCAAATCCTAGGTGGTAATTTCTTGTTGACAAAATTGTAATGGCTGATACCAGCATGACAATACTTTGACAATTGTTTATAAAAACATTTACTATAGATAATAATAGTTTGTTCTTCACATAAAAAAATGTTTAAAGTGTGATGTGAGAAAATAAATAGTTCTTAGATCTCTCTTGAATATGCTAATATTGTATGAACAGTAATTTATTTCTTTGCAGAAGGTTCAAAGGTGTTTTGCACACTCGATGACCTCTTTTATGTTTAGTGCTTATCTTCAAAATGTTTATCTTTTTGTAGAAACACACATTTGCAGCATAAAGACTACCCAATTGCAAATAGATCCTACTACGAAAAAATGCATTTTCCTGCTACTGAGATTACCTCACGAATAATTTTTAAATACTTACTTTTTAAACAAAAATAATTTTGTGAATATTTTTTGAGAAGAATGTAAATTTTTGCTATTAAACTATCATTTTGTACATAAGCACTTCTTTATTTTGTTGTTTGTACCACGTACCACAACCGAACCAACTTCAACAACAAAACAACTAAGTAGCAAATAAAGTAGTTTATGGTCCTAATAATTTTCTCTTTATTATAAATTATTGCTCACTAACTTCGTCCGCTAGGTATGTCAAGTCTTCAACAATTCGTCTACCTCTAGCACCAAATAACTTTCTCGTAGTCTTCTTAACCGGAAGCATTGGAATGAATTTTCCGACTTTAATAAACTTTTAATTAACGTGTAATTTCTCGGATCTTGATACGTTTCAACGTGGAAACAAGATCCGGCCTTGTTATAACTTCCACTACGCGTTTATCTTTTGTGTGATTTAATTATGCAAACCATATAGGTGGAAAAGTTAAGCGCTGAAAATATTCTCGATTAAAATGGGATACATCGAGAATTATTGCCGGTCCTTTCACACTCTATCCTGAAAGCTGTTCGCGCATGGCGAAGCTTTCAGTATGGAGAAAGGGGTGGTTAACCATGTGCACCGCGTTTTCTGTTTAGTAACAAGGATTTGGTGTGCGATATCGTTCGTACTAGTTAGTGGTTGAAGACTCCGAAAGAGTTTACAAGTAAGGTATCTAATAAAGTGTCAGGTTTTATATATAGGTATAGGTTTTATATGTATACAAAGTTTTGGAAACGAAAATGTGTTTTTAAATGTTAACCAAAAATAAAAACAAAGTGCGCATTATCGGTACAACTTTTACAGTCAGATTCAAAATATGATTTTTGTAGTACTGCACTATCGACGTAAAAAAATGTAAACACCAATTCTTATATTTTGTGGGAACTCGTTTTGTATAAAACTCGTTCTACAAAGCTTGCCTTACGAAATGCGTTCTTCAATATACAGGGTGTTTGTGGATTGCGAACAAATATTTTAATCACTAAGAGAATTTGTTATGAAAAGTCGAATTGAAGACCAAACAAATTCCGTATGCAAATTTTATTTTTGCAATTTTCCCCCTATGATTTTCACGAACCGTTCAGTGTGTCTGTTCTTGTTAGCTGGAAGTAAAAATGTTGACCGTGAAAGTTTTTATGCAGAAAAAAAGGAAACTTTTTGTCCAAAAAAATTATTACTTGTTTACACGTGTCAGTTTAGTTAGTCTTCGGGTGAATTGTGCACATCGATTTGAAATCAAATTGTCAATCAAGCCATTATGGCCAACTACTGAAACGCCAAATTAACTAGTGTACGGACATCACACTTCCAAGACCGATTTTCACTAAATGTTTGGGCAGCGATCATTGAAGATTACCAGATTGGACCCCACATATTACCTCAACATTTAACTAGTGCCGTTTATCTAGATTTTTTGGAAAATGTGTTGCCCGATTTGGT